GAGAGATTTCTTATTCCTACATTTCCTAGGAAAGGCTGCAAGGGATTTGCTATGAGAAAGAGTTTCAAATAAGTGTTGTTTGTTTATTAGTATTGTATGAACTTTCTTTTATATATGAAATTTGTGTTTTGTTGTATCTTTCTCATGAAGTCCGAGTAGTTTCCTTTATCTTTCTCCCTACTCTGAGATATGGTGAAATGAAGAGATAATATGGATGTGCCAATGTTAAAATATAAAATAAATTGTGATGTTTTTTCAACTCCGAACTTATTTTACTTTTTGATCTGACCAATTGAATTGTTAAAATTTATTGTGAAACATATAATCTAGGAAATGAAGTATGAGTTCTACAACATAGTGAGAAACACATTTGGTTCATTGAAGGAGAATTTCGTTCATGGAATTAAGTGAAAAAAAATAGGGAAATATACATTATTGGGTGTAGAATTTGAGAATTTAAGGTGACAGACTAAAATCCCCAATTTTGTCTTAGTGTTTAAAGAACTAAAGTGAGAGTTAACCTTCAGGTGAAGAGAAGTGGGAGCTCTGAATTGGGAGCTAGTATCCTCCTAGCCTAGCCACAGATTTAGAGACTAAACCTGGGATTAGTCAATGATTTTCTATAACACTGTATCAGGATAGAGAATTAAAACTGCTTCTACTTGACATAATACATATTAAAATCATTTATCTCATATCATTTTACCAAAATCTCATTGTAGAGGGAAAGATGTTTTTTTTACATAAGAAATATTAATCACATAAACATAGTTTAATAGTTTAGTAGTTATTGTTTAAACTTTGCACTTCAGTTTTGCTAGTAGTTAAATAATTTTGTTCTGATAATATTTCAACATTCAAAATTAATGACAGTAATTTTGTTTTACTTTCTGTGAATTTTCTAGTTAATTTATCATTTCAAATTTAAACCTTCCCCGTAGGATCAATATTTGGGGCTTAAATAGAAAGTCCTTTATTACTTAATAACGATACGTATACTTGCGTAGAATCCCAACATAAATTGCTTAAATTTCATAAACTTAAACTATTGCATCAAGCTTTTGACATTGTTGCATAGCGGAGTCAACTTTATATATTTTGCACAACTATATTTCGGGGATCAGATTTTTCCTAAAAACCTCCAGTATCGATCCTATGAGGAATGTGGTAACTTTTAAAATTAACTTACATAAATTTTATTTAAATTTATAAATTAAAAGATCTTAAAATGATACGCTTACTCAAAATTACTACTAAAGAACTAAAAAGAAAGTAATAACTAAATCTAACAATTTAAAAAAATATATAACAACGAGTTTGGATATTATAAAAAACCTTCCCCCTTACAAAAGATTTTAATCTATGTAAGATTCAAATGATTTAAGACAAAGTTGAGGTGTTGTGACAAATAGAAACATACCTTATTCTTTACCCCCGCCCGGTGCTAGCAAAGAACATTAGCTAACTTAAGGCCTATTCCTTGACATCTCGATTATGCATCAGTGTTATCTAGCCTCTCACCTCTAGATGCCCCAAAGCCTATGCCACCATGATGGCAGAATCCCAGTGTCAGGGTATTAAACCTTAAGCTAAATTGATAAGAATCTCGCATTTCACTCTAGATTTAGCAAATTATACGTTCATCAAAACTTATCTCCCTATTTATTTGCACTCCCCTTTAGGTGATCGTAATGATTCTGTCTAGAATGAAGTGTGGTATCCACTAGTTGGGTGAAATCATAGCCCTCCCAGGTCATTATGTTTCTCAATAGATTTTAACCTCACAAGTGGCCAGTTTGCAAAGTAAATGAAGATTCAATGAAATTACCATCATGATGTTTAAGAGTAAAAATGAAATCTTTAAATCATTCTCATCCCACGAGATTAAGTCCCATATGCAAGAAGAAAGAAATGGAACTGCTCTGAATTTATGGAGATTAAACAAAAACAAAACAATTGCATTGAAATTCAAGTCCTACAACTTAAACACAAATACAAAGTACCTTATGTCTCTCCCTAAGTAAACTTCTGGAGTTTCCTTTAAGCAATCTCCAAACTTCTTCACACTAAAACACACTCACACTTACACTTGAGCACAAAATATAAAAAAACTTAATTTACTATTGTCGTCCAATTGAAGTTTTGAGGCTCCAAAAGGTCCTTAAATTAGGCTAAATCCTTTTAATTAAATAGAAAATATAAAATAACCAAGGGTTGCTCCAAACACCGCTCCAAAATTCGGTCAAATTCAATATATCTTCTAAAAAAGTAGTTATTGGTGCTATAACACCCTTATCGCTTGTCTTTAACGATATAACACCAAGGGGTAGCGCTATAACGCCACACAAAAATCTTTAATTTTGCTCAATTTTTCCTCATTTTCTCTAAATGTCCATTTCATGTACATGAAATCAAAAGCATGCAAAATACATTCCTTTAAAGTGCAATATCATTAAAAATGTACATAAGAGGCTATAAAATATGCACTAAAAATAAGTTATTTTTAGATGAATCACTCATAAAACCAAAGCTGAGTGACTTTTAAATTATAATCGGCTTTGACTAAAAAAAAAATTTAAATGATGTAAACAACACACTAATAGTAGGCAGAAAGACAAATTCATTGATATATCCCAATGACTGATTCTGCCTTAATTTAATTACGACGGCATTCACTTGATTAATAAGAAACTCAAAAATGACAGCATTCTAATTAAAAGAAAGACAATAATGTACATTCTCAAAAAAAAAGTGTAAAACCCTTTGGGCACACTAAAATTTCTCGAAGAAAAAAATAAATTTGTTAATAAAAACTTTAAAATAATTCATCAAATGGCATAGAACACTTCCCATATAAAAACTTCATTAGGTCCTTCTTTATTTGTTTCACAGTTACTCCATAAGAGTGGGTTTTTATTCCAGTGTATTAATTCTCTTTTGTTAGGCATGACTATCAATAAGGTAACCTGATCAAAGTCTAATCTTAACTCTTTCTCACCCATCTTGAATACACTCAGTTGAACAACCTAACATTTTAGGATGCGTAGTGTTAGGACAATATCTTGTGGATATGAAAGCAAATCAAAAAAATTGAAGCACATTCAAAACTTTCAAGGTGTTCACAGTCTTCTCAGATAAGGTACGTTTGACCATATCAAGAACAAATCTTACTACAGATTGTTGACACTTACAGTTGAACATCCTTGGGTAAAAAGCTACAAAAGAGATAATGCAAAAAAGACATTTTGTTAATGTCAAATATTTCCAAAATAACACCACAATATATCTACAATAACACAAAAATATATCCAGAATAACATAAAAAAAATTTGCCAATAACACCAAAATATGTCTAGAATAATACAAAATATATATATTCCACAATAACAACAAAATATGTCTATAATAATGCTAACATATGTGTAGACAAATTAGAAACATAATAAAATTAAAATATGTGTCTAAGATACAACACAAATATGTCCATAACAAAATAACCACAAAATATATACATGGTAACACGAAATATGTTCAGACAAATTATCACCTTTATCACACCAAAATATGTTTAGGATACAACATACATATCACCACAATAACACCTAATCAACAGCAGAATAACACCATTTTTCCATCAAAATTATCATGTTATACAACTAAGATACCACCATATTAGCACCTATAAACAATCAAATTACCAACAAAAAACTTGCATGCAAAAACACTAACTCAACATTAAAAAACCTACATGCAAAAACACCAACTCAAAACACTACAATAATATCTCAATAATACCTCAGTGACGCTACAATAATATCAAAATAATACAACAATAATATCTCAATAACACCTCAATAGCATCAGTCGAATACCACCGCTGAACTGTCACAATATCACTCAAATAACTTAATAACACTATAATAACATCTCAATAACAAAAGTCATATACCATTTAAATAACACCACAATAACACCTCAATAATACCTCAATAACACCACAAAAATACCGCAATAACACAATAATAACACCAAAATAACACTAAAATAACATCTCAATAATACTGCAATAATACCACAATAGCACCATAATAACACATCAATAATACTAGTCGAATACCACTCAAATAACACCACAATAATGTTTTAATAACATCACAAAAATATCACAATAACATCATAATAACATCTCAATAACACCACAATAATACCATAATAAAATAACAATAACATCAATCGAATGTCACCACAGAACCGCCACAATACCACTCCAATAATGCAACAGTAACTCCTCACTAACACCTCAATAACATCATAATAATACTGCAATAACACAATAACACCCATGTTATTGTTGTTTTATTGTGGTTGTACAGTGGTGTTATTTGTGTCGTCGTATTATGACGTTATTGTAGTGTTATTGTGGTTATATTATGGTTTTATTTTGGTGTTATTGTCACGCAATGTGGTTGTAGCATGATGTTAATCGTGAAATAATATTATGGTGTTATTGTGATGTTATTGCGATGTTATTGTGGTTGTATTGTGATGTTATTATGGTTGTATTATGATTGTATTATAGTGTGATTGTGGTTGTACAGTGTTGTATTTGTGTCGTCGTATTTTGGTGTTATTGCGGTTGTATTCCAGTGTCATTGTGGTTTTATTATAATGTTATGGAATGATGTTATTATCATACATAATATTGTAGTGGTAAGAAGAAATTGTTTCTCTTCCAATGTTAAATCATCATTCCATATGGTTAATTTAGCTATCAAGTTTGTCATTGCACGATGTAGGTAAAAACTATGTGAAGCAATGCTTATCTAAGTTACATAAACATTTCAATGCAAGTACAATCACACGACTAGAGTCCGTTTGGGGCAGTTTGTGAGTTTCAGGATAAGCTGTTTATCCTGAAATGCAGCCCGCGGACCGGCCACAGGGGTTGACCCGCGGCGTGCGTTTAGTATAAAAACTCAAACACAATTTCAAATAAGCTGGCACCATAGGAGAACTAAACCGTACGCTCCGCAGGCACTTATACCCAAAGACCTTTCCGTTTTCCGTTCTTCGCCGAGAAGTGCGACAAGTGACTCATAATCGCTTCTCATGGGCTTCGCCGTCGAAGAAGGGAAAAGCTTCTCCTCCGATTGCCCTACTCTCCTTCTGGTTCGTACCTCGAAAGGCGGAAGCCGCTTGCCCCTTTTGTTTTATTCTAGGGTTTGAACGAAGTTTAATTTCTTCAATATTTTATATTTCGTATACCGTAATTTACTGTATGTGATCTAATCGGTGCAGCCCGCACTTTCAATCGGCAATGTGAGCCAGTTAACTATCGATCTGCTAATCTCATCTTTGAGGGCTAAAAGAATTGCGTACTTGGATGAGCCTTCGGTTCTTCCTTGCGTTGGTAATGATGCTTACGGGCCGCTTCCGGAGGGTGATCTTGCCCTTCCTCTTGAAGGTTAGTCAACAACCTATAGAGTTTTACCTTGTTTTTAATGGGTTTTCTTTCGAAATGTAGGCAACGAATTCATTGCGCCTACTTATTTGCGGTTGTTCATCATCTGATTTTTTTGTGAGCATTTGATGCACTCATGCAAATATTTATTAAGTTGAATGTGATATGAATGAAAAATTTCAATGTGTGAATAATAGCTTCAGTGGGGATATATGGTGAGAGTAGCACACACTAGAATAAGCAAATAAAAATTAGCTCGTGCTTTGGTCATATATGATGGAGAGAAGGTGCACGATTAATAATAGTAAATATAATTAATGCTGATGGTTTACAAAGCAATGAACCAAATGGAGTTGCTTGAAAGTAATATATCTAGAAATTGTGCCAAATACTTGTAGGAAATAAAATCAACAATTCATGCAAGAGTTAGTGGGAATTAAGGTGGAATGGGGACTTATAATGCTAATTTGAAAGAGTTTGGATAAGATTAATGATGATGATAATTACTCCTCTCTAGATTTACAATCATAGGTATTTATGACAATGTTGTTACATATAAAATCTAAATGACTGGGTTTGATTTACAATACAAAAATAGTTAGGGATCCAACTTTATGAGCTTCATGCTTCTATAGTACATTATTGTAGATTAAACATGATAAAGATAGGGATTTTCCATACAAAATAACACTTGTTGCTGGTTATTTGCTAGTCCTGCTATAAACTTTCTTAAACTCATTCCTAAGAAGCTGAACATCATTTGATTACTCGAAAACTATGAAATTCATGATTGCTAATCTTTCCATTTAAAATACCATAATCACTATTTTAATCTGCTTGATGCATGCCTATAATGTCTAGATCATTGATAAAGGTTAAGGTTATGAAATTTGATTTCTAACTTATGAAATTTGATTTCTAACTTTTTTTTTTTGTTTCGAGCAAGATTCTTGCCCTTAATTTGTTCGTAACGACCCCATGATGTCTCAATGCCTGATAACTGTTTGTATCCATAAACAAAAATAGCAAGCACCTATCTAACCCTCTCTCTCTATGTATACATAGGTACATATCTCTATGTATACATAGATACCCATCCATACCATAATTTAGTAATATATGACAATGTCTAGAGGAACCAATTATTAATGAAGTTCTTTTTTAATAATTAAAGGTCTATATTCATGTAATGATTCCTAGGGATATTGCATAAAATTGTGACTAATAAACACAAATGGTATAAATTATCATTATTTTAATACATATAGTCTTAATATTAATTATTGGAAGACGATGAATTTTACTTCTTGAAATCTCTTACTTGCAAAAAACTCTTATCGTTAGATTTTAAATTTTGTTAAGTAAAACTTGGTGGTCCTTAATTGGACTATTGGGCTAGCAATTCAATTCTATGAGAATTCCAAGTTGAAGAAGAAAAGAAAAGGAAATCAATCCCAAGTTAAAGGTGACAATTAGTGAATTCATTCTAGGAAGATGAGATGAAAGGGTAGAACAAAACTATGATTAATAAATTCAAACTAAAGGATCTCATCATATATTCTTAAAAAATCATATTAACTGGGAAATTATCTTTGGAAACCTAAAGGTTTTTATTTACATTTCTCGGTTGATATGTATTTAAGGGCTATTGGATTTAGACAGTTTTGGTGGACAAGCTAGATAAGGGAAATTAGAGGTCACATAGTCATTGTTTATATAAAAAGTATTTTTCCCATGGATGGATGTGTAGAGGTGGTGGTTGGTTTGTGGTTATGTTTGTGTAGAGGTGTTGGTGTGTGGAGGTGGTGGTGTTGTGGATGTATTGATGTCTTGATGTGTTGGTGTGTGGAGGTGTTTGTGTGTGAAGTTGGTGGCAGGAGTGATGTGTAGGTAACGTTGTAGTGTGGTGTGGAGGGGCATTGGTGTTGATATTGTGGCATTCACTTTTTTCTTTGAGTTGCGATATTGTGACATTCCTATTTATGTTTATTAGTTTTTTTTCATGCTAGTAATAAAATGGTAAAACAAAATAGGTCGGTTCATCTGCAGTATGAGATAAAGAATTAATATTTTTTGTGACTTCTGCCTCAAAGAGGTCGAACTTGGAAATAGGTCGACAACTTATTTCAACAAGGAAGACTGACAAAATATTATTACAAAATTCAAGAAAAGTACAGACAAAGAGTATGATACGATGCAATTAAAAATAAGTGAGATCAGCTAAAGAAGGATTGAAAAATCTAGAAGTAATTGATGCGAGGATCAACGAGCTTGGGGTGGGATCCGGTAAACCAAACGATTGATGCTTCCGAGCAATGGCGGGCATAGAGACTGGCGGTGAACATTTTTGAAGTGTTCCCTATTTTTGTCAATTATTAATTCATTTTCAAATCCAACATGTTATATAAATTTGTAAGTAATGTCTGCTGCAAAAAAAAATTAAATATAGTGGAATCAATTCTGAGCTGGAGGAGAAGTTAGATTGTATGTTTGTAAGTGTCGTGACAATGGGCAACAATACATGTGCCCCCAGTGAGGCATTGGTGGCATTCCCGAAAATTTGGGAGCTGATTAGATAGGTGAATCCAATGAAGGCCCTAGCTCAGACATTCATGAAGTGAGTCCATGAGAGGGTCAAAGTGTCCCCGGGTTGGAAAAAAAAAGAGAGAGAGCTGCTTTCTTTAGAAGTTAGATCTCACAGTTGGTGGTTTTATGCATCAATGACCCTGACCCATCACAAGCAACTTATGTCCAGCAGGTTATATGAATTATGGATGCAACTTCAAAAATTTATGAGGATATGCCGCTGTATTTGCTTTCTATGAAGTAGCTTGAAGATTCAACCCAATAATAACACCCGTTGACCGTAGGGTAGTTTATCTACATTATTTTTGTGGAAGCAGTGACATTTGATGGACTTTTTTTTTCATTAGATTCTTGTGGGACATTTCTTTTTGTTTATGGTTTTTCATGATGTTTTGAATTTTTATGCTACTTTGAAACTTTATTTCAGAGTTTTTCGTTTCTCATTGTGTTTTCTATTTATTTCTGTAATGTTAGTTGCTTATGTTGGTTTTGCTCGTAATTTTATATTATTGTAGCTAATTCATTGATGCTTATGTGATAGTCATTTCGATACCAAAATACATGGATCCAACTAGAGAAAGGCGCAGAAGGAGAGTTATAGCTGTAGTATGCTTGATGTACATATATTATAACTCGTATATAAAACGCTCCCATTTCATGACTTCCTCATATGTTGGTGAGAAATAGGTTGGAGAGTTGTCTGCGGGTCACCCAACTAGATTTAGTAATATGTTCCGCATGACACATGTGATATTCATCGATCTGTTGGAGAAAATATGCAAAAATCATGAACTTTGTGGCTCACTAGAACGACTTCACGAGAGGTGTTAACAATAACTCTCTATATATTATCGCAAAATGAATCAATGCAAAGAGCTATAGAGCGATTTCAACACCCTTTCAAAACGATGTACAGATAATTCTTAATAGGGTTGAATGCACTTGTCACTTTTTTTATTCACAAATCATAAAGCCAACATATTCTACATTTAAATGGACCCCACAGAAATTTTGCACGATGCACAGTATGCATTATACTTTAAGGTAATTTCTTCTATTTATTACATTTAATTTTCATATAAATATCGTAATTACGTAACCCTTCGTTATTTTTCTGGAATTGTATTAGAGCAATCAATGAAATACTCGTTGATGTGCGTGTTCCAAATAATGAGAAAATCACATTCATTTGACTGTTGTGGGTCCCCGATGTAGAATGTCATGGCGGTACACAGAATGATCATTTGTTCAGAAACAACTGCAATTCAGCTGTTTTTAACTGTAAATAAAAAAAAAACAGACAATCAGCTTATCTGCAGCAGTTTCTGTGCGACAGCTTATGTGCAGCTGCTTCCAGTGGCAGCTGCTACACAACAGCTTATTATTAAGAGTCTGTTTGGGGCAATTGCAGCTTAATAATAAAAAATCCCATAAAAAAATAGAGAGGCACGTCGCTTCCCCTCTCTCTCAACCTTTTCATATTTCTCAAGCAGCTCATCAAAACTTGATTTGAAAAATCAATTTTCTTAGTGTGTAGGTTAATCGTATATAAAATATGGTTAATATCCATTAAAAAATATTATATTTAATTTAAAAAATGAAAAATGGAGTTTGTAATTTGTAAAAGCTAAAAAAAGTATATGAATTTAACCATTAATATCCGTTAAATCACAATATTAAACATGAAAGGTCAATAAAAAATGAATGTGTTGCGTGCAAATAAATGTTACAGTGAAAATAGGCTCTCATGCGCACAATTATAATTAAATACAAATCGGAAGATGTCACTGTAATGAAATTACTGAAACGTTATCGTGTAATCTTGATTTTTTGAATAAAAATGTTTTATGAGTTGATGAGGATGCATTTTCAAAGAATTGATTTAATGCATAGACGTGAAATGGTACAGTGAATTTATTTTTCAAAACGTTACATAATTATTTTGAATTGCAATTTGGAGATGGTGCTTGGGTAGAGTAGATAATAGAATGAGATTGTTGGATTGTGAAGGAGTCTGTTATAATTTGCTGAAATGATGGACACAAAACTCGTAGAGAATTAATAGACAAATACTCAAAATAAAAACCAAACAATTCCTTCAGATTCAAGATGGATTTGGAGATGGTGATTGGGTAGAGTAGATAATAAAATGAAATTGTTGAATTGCCAAGAAGTCTGTTATAATTTGTTGAAGTGATGGACACAAAACTTGTAGAGAATTAATAGACGAATACTCAAGATAAAAAACCAAATAATTTCAATCCAAGAAGTGGGGTTAGAAGAGCTTCGAGATTAAGGTTTCACTTTTTGATAAAAGATACAGAAGTTGGAAATAAATTAGAGGCCAGAGAGGAGAAATGAGGGAGAGGAGCTAGGCAATGCATTGGAAAATTGAGGAAATTATAATTTTAGAAATTCTCATTCAACTGAGAAGATTTGGATGTAAGAGACCATCTATTCAAATTCATTCTCCTTTGAAGTGCCAACTACAAGCCATGCTTATCCTATTCAAATTGAATTTCAAGTGAAATTCAAGATTCAATGGCATTCTAGCATATTCCAAAAAATCTTAAAATAACCCAATTAAAATAAATGTACCGTTTTTCAGATCTCATGGTCTCATCAAAGTTAGAAGGAAGCTTGGCATTGTGAGTAATAACGATGTCATTGAGATGGTACTGTAGAATCTGATTGATCGTCTCTATTATGTTGTCCTATGGTGCAAATCATAAAATTATTTTTGATATTATAATTATAATGTGGCTATGGAGGTGAGCAATCCATAGGTCGATGATGATTCAGATGAATTAGGGATTTCAGATGAGTATGACTTATTTTATAGGCAGCTGCTCACCCTCAATTTTATGGTGTGAGAAAGGTATTCACATTTTTTTCATAAAAATAAATAATTATATAAATATATATGTATGTAATATATGAATATATATGTATATAAATATATATGTATGTAGGATATATATATATATATATATATATATGTATATATATATATATATATATAGTCAGATAGATAGATATATTATGCATTGTTGTGTTGTTTGATACCACTTACTGTCTCCTAGGATAAAAATGAAGATGGGCTAATCATTTTTTTTCAGTAGGTGATGATGCATATTAATTAGAGATTTTAGATGATTTTGGGGTTAGATTCGGCATGGATTTGGAGATCGAGCTTGGGTAGGTTATAGAATAGAATGAAATTGTTGGATTGCTAAGAAATCTATTAGAATTTGCAGAACTGATGACACAAAAGTTGTAGAGAATTAGAGACCAATACTCACAATAATAAACCAAAAAATTCCAATATAAATTTATAGACATAACCTGAAGGAGTGGGGTTACAATTTCACTTTTTTAATAAAAGATATAGAAGATGGAAATAAATTAGAAGAGAGGAGAAATGAGCTGGGTAATGCATCAGAAAATTGAGGAAATTATAATTTTAAAAATTCTCAACTGAGAAGATTTGGGTGTAAGAGATCATTTATTTGAATTCATTGTCCTTTGAAGTCCCATTTACAAGCCATGCTTATCCTACTCAAATAGAAGTTCAAGTGAAATTCAAGACACAAAATGGTATTCTAGAATATTTCAAAAAATCTTAAAATAATCTAATTAAAATAAATGTTCCATTTTTCATGATTCAATGTTCTCATCAAAGTCAGAAAGAAGCTTCAGATGATTTAGATGCTTGGCTTTGTGAGTAATAGCGATGTCATTGACATGATGCTGTAGATTATGATTGATGGTCTCTATTATGCTGTCCTATGGTGCAAGTTGGAGCCATTGAAAGGATCTTTTAGGAATGTTGATTTTACTTTAAACATAACTTCCTTTGATCTAAATTGGAAGCAGTTATGTTTACAAGTTGATGCTATTGTAGTTCTTATTTGCAATCTGAAAACAAGGGTTCTGAATGAATTAGCTTTTAGTAGGCTTCTTTTTCAGAAGAGAAATAAATTTATTGACTGATAATCTAAAATGATTTAATGTAACACCAGCTGAAGCTTGATTACCTTTGCTTTCTAGAACCAAATGTCAGGATGAAAAGTGCAATCACTCTCTTTTTTCTCTTGCGTTGTAAAACTGCCTGGCAGTTGAGTATATAAATATAGTTCTTAAGCTTTACTAGTTGTTCCTGTATGTTCCAATCATGTTTGATAGATTCCTCTTATTTACATAAATGACCTGCCTACATCTTCATAGGTATCAGGTGAACATGATTGATTTGGTGGATAGATATGTATTGCAATTGCATGTTTTTTCAATGAGCGTACACACATGAATCCATTTCTTTCAGTACTCGTCTATGCACAGAATATTTCTTACTCTTTCTTTGATTTTTTCACATTTTTCATACATTACTATTGGCGCTGACTCAGCCTTGTTGTGTCTTAGAGGATGCTATTTGAAAACATGTACTCTCTACTAGTTTGAATTTTCATCTTCTTTTATTATTGTTAGGTCCTGATAAGTTGTGGCGTTATGTGTTGGGCTTTACAAGATATTAAAATACCACCCTAGTATGCTGATTGACTTGCTGATAAGTAGGTTTTGCATTGTATATTCATCATTTTTGTAGCAGCTGTTGTTTTATTTATGCATCTTATTTATTTCCCTGCATCTACTGGGTACCTTATAAAACAAGTCTTATCATTTCTTATGCAGTAATTGCATAAAATTTGTAATTTGTATCAATTTTTCTATTTTGTGATGACCACAAAATTTCTTTGATTGTGGATATGCTAGTCTATTCTTATGAAAGTCTAACAAAAACAGCTTTTATTTTAACCGCTAGCATGCTCCACATTTTCTTGCATTCAGAAAGAGCAATCAGCCCCCCTCAACATTTGCCAAAATGAAGTTTTCATAGGTTTTCCAAAATTAATAATTCATAACCTGGAATTGCATTGTCTTCAATAATATCTTCTAAATTTCTTTTCACTCAGTTAATTGATGCCAATTGCAGCTTACGACTCTCTTTCTCATGCTCTGACTCTGATTCAACAGCGTTCACCAGTTATCAAGGTGATCCAACTTCTTAAATCCAGATTTAACTCTTTTATGTTTTAAAACTGGGCTTTTCTTATTGCCACTTGATATCATGCAATGCTAATGTTGAAATTTCCATTCATTTTTTCTTTAAACATTAGCAAAGCGTATTCAGGGAAGTTTCTGGGAATTAACTATGATGTTTAACTTCAAGTCTGTTTCATGCTTGCTACTGTAACTACTAGAAATTTTTAGTTAAGATATCAACAAAATTTGTTAAGTGACATGGAGCTGAACTTATAGAGCTTGGTCCAATGCTCAATTGCCTGGTTGCTGATCTTGGACTTGGTCCTACTTAATAATTTGTTTTTTTAGAGTTTTAAGGGTTGCTTGTTTTGTGTGTAGTGGTATCAAGAATGTTTTGTCTCGCTAAAGATTAATATATAGGTAAACTTGAAGGATAGTGAAGCTAATCTAATATAATCATTGATTGCTTATGTGGATGCCAAGTTCATTCTATTAGCTAACCGACATCGTTTAATTTATTGGAAGTTTGGTTTGATAGATGTTGCATTCTCCCTTTTTTGTCCCTGTAGACTGTTCCCTGAATTACTGCTGTTAAAACATACTGGTCCCATTTATATCAGTCTTCGATTAAGCCTAGCGTTTTTTATGCTGAGGTCTATTAATGTTTCCTTTGCAAGCTTGTATCTAGAAGCAGTCTAACTTACATCTCATGGTCAGGGAATTAAGTGCTGCTGAAGCAACCTATTATCTAAATATTCTCTGAAAGGTATTATACTAGTTTTTTGTGTGCCTAACATGTATAAAACCACAACAATAGTACTAAGTGATCTTACGACGCTCGACACAATTTTACTAACGACTTAAATAAGGTTACATGAAGTTTTAAAAGAAGAAAAGACAACAAACCAAGCAAAAGCGTAACATAAAGAATTACAAATAAAAAATCGACAAAAGAAAACACAATAAGTTGACTAGGAGGAAGTTCAGAGAGGTGGTGTCAAATCGGTGGTTGCGGTGAAGGCCAGAGAGATGGTGGACGATTGTGGAAGAGTAGGAGAGCAAGTCAGCGATCGTCAAAGCCTCGAACCGCAGCTGGAAGGAGTGGCTGGGACTGCAGTAGAGAGAATATGGAAGGGGCAGCGGATAGTACACCTGCAGGTAAGCTGCAGGAGGGCAACGTGATGGTTGTGGCCTATAGGGGAGCTGCAGGCTCTGTTTTAAAAAGCATTTTTGTGGTGCGCTCGGGGCACCCAGGGGCGGGGCGTAAGGTCTTCCTCTCAAGGCCCAAGAGGGGGGAGTATACACACATGGGGCTCACGGGAAGTATTGGAGTGCAAAATGCGCTCACGGGGTGTGCGCTCAGCCTCCCGTTCGAATAAAAAGGGGTTCAAAATCCCTAATTCTAAATACCTGTTTGATTTGAGCCAAACATAGTCATCCTCTCTAGTTCGAACTCGACTTCTCCTTCTTGTTCTCCTTCTTCTTCTCCTTCTCCTCCTCCTTCTCCTTCTCCTCCTTCTTCCTTCTTCTCCCCTGCACTGAAATTGTGCACTCGTATCCTTCTTCCTTCAACTCCGTATCGTCTACGTCTTCCTCTCCTCTCGCACGCAGGCTCTTGCACGGAGAGTTGGATCGGGCTCGTTTGCATCGTCTTCTCTCGCACTCGCCTGCACTCCTTTCTGCATCATCTTCTCCTGCTCTCGCCTGAGGTTTGTGTTGTTTTATGCTTCTATATTTGTGATTACTATGGTGTAAAAAGTAGAAACAGTTAAATCATGTGTTTTTAATTTATCATTTTACAGCACCGCAAATTTTTTGGTTACCCTAACGGCTGTGCTACATTTTCTTATGATTTCGATGTAGCTGCAACAGTAATTTCACTGTAGATACTACAGTGAACTGCAAATTTATATTTATATTATATATATATATATATATATATATATATATATATGTTTCTTTCATGTTAAAGTATTGCTAGAGACCACTCTAACTACAATGAATCACAGTTTTTTTTCATGTACGCAATTTTCTGGAGGCGGATTTCATCCATTTTTTTTTAATGTGTTAGATTAGTTATTAACTGCTAGTAATGGAAGGGGGGATTGTGTAGTCGGTAGTAGTCGCAGTACTAAGAATGACTTTGCATGGCAATATACAACAAACATACCCAATGAAAAACATTTCAGATGTTAGTTTTGCAATCAAATTTGTAGTGGAACAATAAACATGATGAAACAACATCTTGCAAACACACATAAGGGCATTAAGTCATGTACTAAAGCTCTTACTGAAGTTCAAGAGAAATGTAAGAAAGCATCAAAAGAAATTCAAAAGTCAAAGCACAATGTCAGAGTGTCTTAAATGATATTAGAAGCAGTGCAAATACTAGTAAGGTCAAAATGCTATAAACTCATCATTAGTTGACTCCTCTCAGAGGCCACCAAGAATTAGAGGTCCAATGGAGATTATTTCACCACAACACAAGTAAGGAATTCTACTCTAAATTCTAAGTGGGATAAATATGAAAGAAAAGAAGCATGTAGAACTTTGATTGATTTTCTTGTGAACAGTCCAATTGAGATTTTTTTCTTAAATATGTGGATGCTTCTAATGCAATAAAAAGTAGTGATTTACTATTCACTTATTTGAATGACGTGATTGAGGAAGTTGGAGAAAAAAATGTAGTGCAAATTATAACAGATAATAGATCAAACTATGTGAATGCGAGTAAAAAAATAATTAAAAAAATAACATATTTATTGGACACTATGTGCAATACATTGTATTGACCTAATGATAGAAGACACTGGAAAGTTGAAGTTTCATGAGAGCACACTTGCGAAAGCAAAATAAGTTGTAAAATTCATTTATGGACACATAAGTTCTAGGCATGATGAGATCTTTTACAAAGAATAGACAGCTTGTTCATCTAGCCATCACACGGTTTGTTACAACATATACAAGCAGAAGCAATCACTTATGGCAATGCTCTTCTCAGAAGCTTGGTGTTCTAGTCAATGAGTAAAGAAGGCAAAAAGTATAAAAGCTCGAGCTGTTATTTTTTTTGAAACATATTTTTTGGGTCATCTTGCTTATTGTATCAAAAGTGTTATGCTGCTTGTAAATGTTCTAAGAGAGGTTGACTCAGAAGAAATGTCAGCCATGGGTTATATTTATGGGTTAATGGATTCAGCAAAAAAAAAATTGCTTTTAATTGCGGCATAATGAAAAGAAGTATAAACCTATTTGTAGGAAAATTAATGTAAGATGGGAAGTCCAACTTTATAAACCACTACATGCAGCTTGTTATTATTTAAACCCTCAATTTCGCTTTGAGGATAATTTTTCTGATGATGATGAGATGAAAGAAGGGTTAATTGCTTGTATGGAAAGAATGTTGAACTATGAAGATCGACTTGGGGCTGATATTCTACTAGAATTATATGATAACTTACGAGGAGACTTTGGGAGTAGAATTGCTATGGATTCAAGAAAGTTAAGATCTCCTGATAATTGTTGGATGAGATTTGGTGGGAAAGACACCTAAATTAATGAATTTTGCGATTCAAGTTCTTAGCCTCATATGCAGTTTATCAGGTTGTGAAAGAAATTGGAGTACTTTTGAATCAATTATAATTTTTTTATTTCTTAAAAGTTAAAATTATTACTATTTGCTTTCATAATCACCTCTTAAAAATAATATTTTTTATCATATATTCATACTAAAAAGAGGAACAATTTGGAGCTCAAGAGATTGAATGCTCTGGTATATGTAAGATACAATACTAGATTGAATGAAGGAAGTATAAGAATAAAATAAGATTTTGATCTAATACTGATAAGAATATAGACTGTGATGATGAGTGAATTGTTGAGAAAGAAGATCCAGTGCTTCTACAGGAATCTTCTTCGATGAATGAAGAACATGTCTTTGATGTTGATGTAATCAGAAATGTGCCTATGACAAATGCAAATGAAGAATCACAGAATAATACACAAGGAAGAAAAAACATTTTTATAACATATTCTCACAGGAAAAAGAAGATGAATGAAAAAACAAGTTTCGCATTTACATTTAATTGTTATTTATATAAATATGCATTCTTAATTTCTTATAGAAAAAATATCATGAATATTTACGAATTTCATTTTGATTGTGTTTGTAATTTAGGCAACAACGATAAGGAGAAATAAATTATGAATGCACTTGTGATTGAGCATAATGTTGACTTCAATGAAGTGGACAATGAATGTAGAGAATATGAAGGACCTAGTTGCGATTTGGATAAAACTATCGGTGAAGAAGAGGATTTTGATGATGAGTTTAAAGAATGAATAACCTTCGAGGATTTAGATAAAATGATCATAAATTTATTTTTTGGCTCAAACATGTTTTCTTATTTATATGTTTCATTTTTTTTTTTTTTGTGGATTTTTGCTAGTATCTTAAATTTTCTAATTCTAGAAGACTTGTTTTATTTGTTTCTTTTTTTATCATGCACAAATAGTATTAATACTGTGGGACTTACTCCCGATGCTTTGAGGCTTACGTCCCGTTGAATACGCACGCCTTTTAAAACATTTGCTGCAGAGCAGTTGTAGGTCTGCAAGAAAGGAGGCTGTAGGTGGCTGAAGCGCTATGGCAGCCTACTTGAAGAGGGGCGGTGACCTATTGGTGGTTGAAGGGTTGTGGCATCCTACAGGAAAAGTAGGGGGCAGTGGCAGCCTGACATAGTGTTGGGGAACGGGTGGACAACAACAAGAAGGGTGGAAGGATAGATAAATATCTTGGTTGGGTCGAGCTACAGTTAGAACACCATTCTGACCCGTGGAGACGATCACCACCTCGGACGAGGGACAGCAGAAGCACTTCCTCAACGTTGGATACAACCCTCGAAGGGAAAACTTTAGGGTAAATCCTGAATTCAGATATAACAAAAAAGACCCCTAACTCTAAGTACATCATCCTCTATTTATATTGAGGTTGTAATTTTATTTTGGGCAATACTTAAAATAAGAAAGAAGAATCAAATCAAGATTTCAGATTTAGGTAAGGAAATAAAGTGAGGGAAAATCAGATTTAAGGAGGGTAAATAAAGTAATCAAAATTCAGATTTTGGAAAGGACTTAAAATATGAAACGTTTTAGAATAAGGAAGGAGAATAAATTATAGTCAGGATTTCAAATTTTAGGAAAAGATTTAAAATAAAAAAGTGCTAGGAAGGAAAGAGGAAAGAGAGGAAAGGAAAGGGGAAACAGAAGGGGAAGAGAGGAGCGGCAGCCCCCCTCCCTTCGAGGACCGGCCCTTCCTCCATAGACCCAGCGTCACTAAGTTAATTTATTCATGTTGTTTTTCTCAAGAAAATAAATGGTACACTAAATGAAGGATACCAAAAGGGTAAATGAGAGGGGAAATAGGACAATGTGAAACGACTCTTTAAATTGGCTTCTCCAATCCTAGTATATTTAGAAGTGTAGATGTTTCACCAAATGTAGCTCTTAGTGGGAATTGCTGGAAAAGAAAATCTTGCTCGAAATTGGTTGATTATGTCATTGATTTTTGTTATCTTTTTTGCTTTAAAAACAAAATCCAAATGACTTGATTTTGTAATGGTTTTCGTAATTGGTTGATCATTGATGTAGGGGATGATGATTGAATTTGCAAAAAGCTTGGCTAATTTTGTAACAGCTATTGGAAAGAAGCATATTGTTATTCTTTCCAGCTTAGATTCCGGTAAGAGAAAGCAAATCGATGGGTCGAGGTAATTCTTTTTTTTGTTTTGGCTGTCTTTTCTCTGTATATCGCTTCTATTAGGTGTAGTCTACTGAGATTTTTCTTTTTTACTGTTAGTTTTATGCAGATATATTACATTTCAAGTGTCAATGATGATGGGCATGACGTAGATTGTGAGAGGCTAGGTTGGAAAAGACTTGAAGAATATAAACCTTTTGAGAGGAGATGGAAGTATCTTAAGCATCTAGCTGAAGAAAATCTTAGCCAGGAAGACTATATAGATCAGGAAGATGACTTGGTTGATGATGATTACTATGCAGGACTGCCATTTGCCGCCTTATTTGTATGCTGCAAGGTGGTTATTTTGATGGATAATTAGACTTCTCTTTATTCCTTAGGGGGCTCATGTGGTTGACTTCATTGAATTGGTCAGGCCAAAGGAGTAAAAGTTACTTGTTTGCTATGCTATTGTTCGGAAGGGGATAACATTCAGGACTCGTTACAGTTAGCTGAGGCTGCTTGCAAGCTTCTGGGTATTGATCAAGAAAATTTCCATGGTGAGTTTAGGCCTTATTTCTTGCAAATTAGTTTCATATTTAATTTCTGTAGATAAATTCCATTTTATTTCATCATATCAAAGCATTTTCTTATTGGCCTATGTTTCAAGCATTGTTGTAAGCAAGCAAATATAGAGAATTATAAATCGTCGTTTGCAAATCTTGCAAGTCATCAGTATATAAATTTTGGGGCCATTTGCATGCATACCACACAATTTTTCTGTATTTACATATCTAACATCTATGCTTCATTTATTACATTTATAACTCTCAAATCATTTATACAATAACAACAACAACAAACCTTTATCCCACTAAATGGGGCTGGCTACATGAATCTTTTTTCTCCATTACATCTTTTTGAGTGCCATATATTCATTTAATTCTAATAAATTAAGATCATTTTTTATACAATACGCCCAAGTCTCTCTAGGTCTACCTTCGCCTTTCTTAACATAAATCGAATCTTAAGCATCTCCTAATCGGATCATTAGATGGTCGACGTTTAATGTCACCAAACCATCTAAGACGGCTCTCTAGTTTTTTCCGACATTAGAGCTACACCAACCCTATCATAGATAGATTCATTTCACGTTTTGTCTCTTAAGCTTTGCTCTAGCCACTCATCCACCCAAGCATTCTCATCTTGGCAACACTTTACTTAGTCGTGGCAACTCTTTACTAAGTTTTATGCTTCTCTTTTAAATGTCAACATTCAGCGCCATACAACATTGTAGGTCTTACCACCATCTTATAAAATTTTCCTTTTCTATCTAAACTGTACTTTTCTATCACACAACAGGCCCGAAGCATTCCTTTACTTCAACCAACCATCTTGAATTCTACTGATAACATCTCATCTATATCACCATCCCTTTGAACAATAGACCCAAGATATCTAAAGCGTTCACAACTTTTAATAATTTGATCACCTATAGTTACAACTCTTTCACTAGAGCTACTACTACTAAAATTACATTCCATGCATTCAATTTTAGTTCTACTCAAATGAAGGACTTTAGACTCCAATGAAGACCTTCATAATTTAAGTTTTTCCTGAGCTATTTCTCTAGTCATATCCATGAGAAGGATATCATTAGCGAAAAACTTACACCAAGGTACATCCTCCTGTAAATATCTAGAAAAAAATATCTAGTAAGAGCATCTATAACTAAAGTAAAAGATATGGGCTTAAAGTCGATCCCTGATGTAATCCAAACTGAAATAGGAAAATATTTGGTCAATCCTCATTCCATTCGAACGCAGGTAACAACTCTAGTATACATATCTTTAATGGCTTGATTATAAGTCATATCAACACCTTTCTTCTCTAGAACTCTTCACTTCTCTAGAACTCTTTCTTATCGTAAGCTTTTTCTAAATCAATAAAAATCATATGTAGATCCTTCTTATTCTCTCTGAACTTTTCCATCAAACCTCTCAATAAATGTACAGCTTCCATAGTAGACCTGCTCAACATAAATCCAAGTTGATTATGAGAAATCTTTGTAATACGTCTTAACCTATGTTCAATTACCTTCTCCCATAATTTTAAAGTATGACACATCAACTTAATTTATCTATAATTTGCACACTCTTGTGCATATCCTTTATTTTTAAAAATGGGAACTAAAATACTCTTCCTTCACTCTGACATCTTTTTAGTTTTTAAAATAATATTAAAGAGTTTAGTAAGCCAAGATACCCTCAAATCTCTTATATATTTCCACACTTCAACTGGGATATCATCAGGTCCTACAGACTTTCCACCTTTGATTTTCTGTAAGGCATTCTCAACTATTTTTTTTACTAATGCGATGGTAAAAATGAAATATTTCATTATTATTAACGATATTTAAGATCACTAAAGTAGTTCGTATTTTCAGAAATTTTATTAAAAAATTTATCAAAAAAATTGGCCCACCTATGTTGAATATCTTTTTGTAAGAAAAACACTTTTTTATTTTCATTTTAAATACACTTTACTTGATTTAAATGTTTACTTTTTTTTTTTGTTTAGCTAGTTTATATATATACACCCTTTTTAATATTCTCCTTAGTATCTAATATATTATAAAGATTACTAAAAGCAGAATTTTTAACGTCACAAATTGTTCTTTTAGACAACCTATGGGACATTTTATATTTTTTCCAATTCTCTATGTTTTTACATTTAAGCAAATTTTTATAACATAACTTATTATATTTTATATTTTCTTGCATATTATTATCCCACCGCCAACAATTTTTATTTATAGAAACTTTTTCTTTTGATTCTTCAAGTACATCATTTGCCACTTGTTTAATAATATTTGTTATTTTATCTCACATATAATTTGCTTCTTCATGAACATCCAAATTTTGAAATCTTGAAGTTTACTCCTAAAAATAAATTTATTTGTCTTTTTGGTGCCACAATCTAATTTTGCGACAATGATTCCTAGTATTCTTTATTTTTTCAACTCTTCATCTTAAATCTATAACTAATAATCGATGTTGAGTACTTAAATATTTCACTTGGAATGATCTTACAATATTTATATTTTCAATGATCTCTTCTTCTCATAAGAAAACAATTAATTTATGTTTTATTAGATTCATTCTTATAAGTATTAATATACTCATCTCTTTTCCTGAGTAAAGTATTAGCAATAACAAAATCATACGTTAAAGCAAAATATAATATGGTTCTACATTTTTCATTAATCACTCCAAAAACATAGCCACCATAAATATTTTTAAAATCTTCTACCACTCTACTGACATGTCCCTACATTTTCCCCAATAAAATTTTTTTCTTCAAGAGGTATCATTTGTATCAAGTCTTCTAGGTCATTCTAAAATTTTTCTTTAGAACCAATATCTAAACTTACTTAATGAGCATAAACACTTATAATATTAAAAATCTCAGTATCAACAATAATCTTAAGGAACAATAATCTTAAGGAAACAATAATCTTAAGGACTATAATTTTATCTCCAATTCCATTAATTTTTACAACATTATCTTTCAAACTTTTATCTATAATTACACCTACCCCATTTCTAGTGCGACTCTTACCTGAATCCTAAGTTTAAAACCTAAGTTATCAATTTTCTTAATCTTTACTCCAACCATTTAGTTTATTCAATACATAAGATTTTTTATCTTTCTATGAATCATAATATTAACTAATTTCATTAATTTATATGTGAAAGTACCTATATTCTAAGATCACATCCTAATTTTAGTTTCATAAACTAATTTTTTTACTCGCATTCGTATGTAATTTGAGAACTCTTGCTTATTTGACATGACACTCGGGTGCTGGTGTAACGACCCTTGCACATTTTCACTGTATTCAAGTCATACAGCTCGTTGCTTTCAAGGGACGCCCTAACATTTACACGATGATTAAAAGGATTCATGTCATGATTTTTTGACAAATTTTACTCTGGTTGTCAACTGCGTAACGCAACCCTCCACTTTTCACATCATAAATACCACTATTATAAACTTTTAATAAGTGAAATATGTCTTTTTTTGGCATATGTAAAACGCTATATGTATGTAAAAATCAAAGTGTAGGCTTTGATATGGAAATACATAGGAATTGTGTGGAATGTATGTAGATCTTTCTAAATTTTATGATGGTTTTGATAAAGGGTATGAATATCATGATCTCATCTCCATACAGGTAACGAGCCAGGAGGATGGGTGATTCCACTTTCATGGAAAACAGTGTATGGGCCACCACCAGATATGTCTCTCTTCTGACATGCGTTTGGATCAGTTCAACTTGAATCGCATGGAATCTCATTCTGGAACGGTTTGTAGCCAAATACTGAAACTTGCATTTCCTCCATATTTTCTCTTGTTATCTGGACTGTAAAGTAGGAATCTTTGAGGTTAGTTTATCAACACCAACCTAGAAGGATATGTTCATGTTCGCAATACTCACTTCTCATACCTGAAAATTTAAACATTATTTTCAGAACAAGTCCATTTAAAGTATTTCAAACTGTTCTCCGGCGTTGTAGATCGATATGAGGCTTTTTGAATTGTAAAAGAAATATATTTTCAGAACATGCAAATCTTTGAAATAATACATTGTTTGTCGGGAAAAATCATTAAGAGGAAAATAAATAAACAGATAATAATTTTTTTTAATGGCTGCTTAAATGTCCCTTGTGAAGTATGAAAGTTTCTGTATATAAATTTCTCATAAAGTATGCATATTACTTTTACTCAATTATGATAAGAGGAGAGATTTGGGCAGAGAGAGGAGATAGAGAAATCTGGAGGAGGAGGAGGATGAGAGAGATTATTTGACGAGAGAGGGGGGGGAGAGAGAGAGAGAGAGAGAGAGAGAGAGAGAGAGAGAGCTTGCTGAGCCAGTCAAGCTTATTTGGAGAAAATGCTACACTGTAACATAAATCCAAATTTAAAATGAAGATTTGTTGTAAGAGTTTTCCCAATTTATATGGCACACCCAAAAAGTGGGGGCCGTATTTATGCACTAGTTCTAAACACAAGAATCATGAAATTTCTATTTTAAGTTTAAGATGTATGTATGGAGTAGAATTTCTCATAATATAAATTAAATCTTTAGGTAGCTGGATATTCAGTTTGGTAAGAAAATTAAAAAGCATTCAAATTATCTTATTGTCGGCTTAATTTCAATTACTGACAATGAAGGTGAAGGTGCTGGTATTGCATTTTGCTCAAGTCAGAAAGTTTCTGTTTAGTTCTGTTTTGTCCAAAATCTTTTCATTTTTACTTTAGGGAAGAACCTATTTATGTGAACAACTTCTGACTTATTTGCTGCTAAATAACATGGATTAAGCAAAATTGCAATTATATCCTTTGAGCCAAGTGATCGTTCCCACGCTGCAATTTTGCTACTGCTTTTTTTTGTTGTTTTTCAAAGATTTTTGTGGTGGGAAATAGCGTTTATTTCTAGATCCACTACTGTGTGGGCAATGTAAGACAGCCACCACCAGATATTCTCAACAACAACAACAACAACAACAAGCCTTTATCCCAATAAGTGGAGTCGGCTACATGAATCCGTTTTCTCCATTGCGACCTATTGAGTGTCATATTTTTATTTAATTCTAATATATTAATATCGTGTTTTATACAATATGCCCAAGTTTTTTAAGATCTACCATTTCCTTTATTAACATAAGTCAAGTCTAAAACATCTCTCCTAACAAAATCACCAAGTGATCGACATTTAATGTGACAAAACCATCTAAGACGATTCTCTTTATTCTTGTCCGCCACTAGATCTACGCTTAACCAAATTTTCTTAAAATTGAAAAAAAAAAAAAGGTTTACAAATAGTTGCTGCCACCTTAAATGGACTCATAGGCTCTGTTTTTGGTTTGGCTTTTTTAGTGCGGTGCGGCACTGCGCCACGAAATTCCCCGAAATCCTGCTGTTTGGTTCGGCTTCGCCCCCGCCGCTTAGCGCGTTATGCCTCGAAAGCGGGCAGCAGGGGTATGTGCGCGGCCCAGCTTCGTGGCCGCGGCTTTTACCGCCACCTAATAGAGCAATTGGATCTTCACGCGAGCTTCATCCCTCCTCCTCCTCTTCTCCGGTCGGTGACGGTTTCTCCCGATCTCGTGATCTCGTCAAAGAGAGGGTAATTTCTCCCCCACCCTGTTATCTGTTGGCGGTTTTTGTTTTTATTTTTTGCTTTGATCTTATTTTTGGGTTTGTTAGATCTATTGGCATACCTTTTGTTTGTTGTATAGCTTGGATTTTTTTGGCAAACCTTGGATGTCTTCAATAGTCACACATATGTTTCTCTGCCTTGGAGAGCAGATGAACAACAAACGAATCCTTTTTGAAGCTAAAAAAAATTTAGGATTTTTGCAGAATTAAACATTGGCCCTGTCTTCTCATATAAATACATAATAATTTTTAAACAGTTTTAGCAAACAGGGGCAGCTTGGACATTTTTCCAAAAAAAACTGTCTCACAGCTATTTTCACACAGCTGCACCAAACAGACAGCCAACTTCCCTGTAGCTGCTTCCCCGCAGCAGTTTTCTGGGGCAGCACAGCTGCAGCTGCGCCAAACAGACCCTATAGTGTAAAAACATTGTTCATAGCAATCCTATCTTTATCCTATTCAAATTTCCTCGTAATTAATAGAGTAGAACTGTATTCCGCATTGTTTGGTTTCATAAACTCATATATTGCTCTTATCAGTGCACACCTGCTTGCTTGTGGTTATTATTTTAGTTATAGTTTCTTGTGTACTCTTTATGATAAACTATGTTTGTACGTAATATTTTATCAACAATGGAGCACTACACAGAAGATGAACTTATGCTGAATTTACATGAAGAATTCATGAACCTATCAATTCTAATAAAACATCTCTTTAATGGACTAATTTTATAAAGGAACAACATATATTAATTTTTAAGAAATAGGAGCTTAATAATGGAGCAACAACGTAAATTAAAATGATCGTAAATTAAAATGATCATTTTGTTGAAAAAAAAAAAACATAATCTTATAATAAAACATATCCCTAATAAGATTTTTCAATAATTAATTTTAAAATTATTTTATGATAATATAAAATGACAATGTAATTAAATGTTTAAGAAAACAAAAATTACAAACGATTTATTCAGCCTTGTAAAATTGTGTAAATGTGTTTTGTTTGAGCGAGCTCAGCATTTGTTTGTGTTTTCATTTAAGATAACATTATTTATATTTAATAAGAGACTAGGACTGCCAAGATAAAATTGTCGTTCTCGAATAGTTTATGCTTGGCTCACTATGTAGTACATATTTAATTTGTTCATCAAACAAGACGAATATTTTCTTTTAGCTCGATTTAGAAATGAGCCATACACGTAATTCACGTAAATTTTTTTTGTTGAGACGTGATTTGTCCGTGAATCATACCTTAAGGAACAGAGTATAAGAATCGAGGGAGGGGAAGAAAAAGAAAAAGAGAGTGTGTGAGTAAGTGAATAATAATGAATAATATTTTGTATATCTCATTTTCTCATAAAATGATCTCCCTATTTATAGGGAGAATGGTACAATATAATGATATTACATTTTTTTGCTTTTGTTTTAATAGGGGTTGTACATGATATTCTATGTATTTTACATATAGGAGTGTTTTGCTCGACTCCCCTCTGGCTTAGAAGGTTGGACAAATATGGCTTTAGCTCGATAAGGACAGTCCAGTTGATTAGGCTGAGTAAGCATTGTCGATGGACTAAGCTTCATTGACTTCAAGTCGACCAGATTGATTTGATCGACTAAGGCTTGTCGATTAGTCGATCTTGTCTGGCTGCCGACTCTTAATCCATGGATGAGGGGCTCCTGTCGGCGGAGCGAGACTAAACTATCACACAAATGGTGAATCATGGTAACCCAATAGGTAGCTCATTACTCAACAAGGAGAGCCCGTGTGATGACTATGAGACTATTTTCTATTGTCAATTCTTGGTACCTTATGAGAAAACCTCGATCGGTTTTCTCGTAGTGGTTTGTTTGAATGCTTATATGTCTTGTTTTAGTTTGATTGGATCCGATTCGAATCCTGTCATCGGTCATTCTTTTCATCTTTCTCCCGGTTCAATAGATCTTCGACTTTGGCTAAGACAGTTACATCTGATCGGTTAAGTGTGTCTTCTAATATTCTGTCGCTAGGCCCTTCTTTGTAGTGCTATCTTTTATTTAGACTGTTGGATGTTCCTGATCCGATCAGTGCAAACATATTTTCGATGTATATTTTTAATATATCCATAGTTTATTTAACTTCCAATAAATAATTCACATAAATTTTTATTATATCTCACGTGTGCAGGCACTTTTGGACTTTTCAAAGTGATCTGTTATTTCTCAGAAAATTACAAAACAAAGGAAATATGAAACGTCATTTCTATTTTATAGAACCTGCCATATTATTTGCATTTGTTTAATTTGGTCCAATCTCCCACACACACGTGGCAAAACAAATTTGTACACGTGCTTTCTTTTCCATATTAATCGCGATAGCTCTGTGTTTTTATTTAGGATGAGCGTCAAACTCGTTCTTTCGAGATTCTTCATTTTATTTTTATTAACAGGTTGTTAGTTATGCAAATAAAGTTTTATGTTGTATTTGAATTTGTTAAAATGCGGCCCATTTTAGGGAATTCTTATTCGGTACGTGTACCGCATAAAGGCATGCATGCGGTACCGAATTAAAAACGGCCACGTGGATTTTCACCTTAAAAACTCTTGTCATATTTTGCCCTACCCGGCTCGAATCCTGCTGAAAAAAAGCACCTTTTTGTCATTTCCGATTCCTGCCAATTGAAAAAAAGTGGCATTTGTTTTCTTTAGGGTTTAGGGATTCAGTATATTCTCATTTTGTTGTCTCGTATTCGCTAGAACTGGTTCGATGGAAACAATTTTTGACGAAGAAATGTTGTTGGAATCTCTAAATACTTGCGAGAAACATAACAATGAGCTGAAATCTCAGAATATTGTCGAGAATAATGAGAATGAGCAGAGTTTATATGCGGCAGAAGGACATCGGTAGGTACGTTGAAGACTTGTTTGAATGCAGTTCTAGGTTTTAAGGAATAATTTTTTTGTTAATGAAGTTTGCTCTGATTTTAGATGACGTGTAACGCTAAGTTTTGGTTGGGTGAGATGTGGTGTTATTTAGGTAATAATTTAGGTAAACACTGGTTGTTTTTGCAGTTGTTTTCCATTTTCGATTGTTCGTTATAATATTAGTTGGGGTTTGATGTTATTTTGGTAGTATCATAGTTGGGGTTATAATATTAGTTGGGGTTTGATGTTATTTTGGTAGTATCATAGTGTTATTTTGGTAGTATCATAATGTAACGTTAATGTCGTGGGGATTTGTTGTTATTTTGTTAGTATCACAGTGTTATTTTGGTAGTATCACAATGTAACGCTACTGCTAATTTTAATTGGTTGATTTTTTTTAAAAGAATTTTTTTGTGGTTTATTTATTGGTGTTCTAGGTTTTAAGGAATAATTTTATTGTTAATGGAGTTTGCTCTGTTTTTAGATGACGTGTAACGCTAAGTTTCGATTGGGTGGGATGTGGTGTTATTTAGGTAATATCACGG